AGAAAAAGTAGAATTGGGCTGAAAGATCTATCGCTTTATCACCTGTTCAGGGTGTAAATCGTGTTTTTAAAAGTAACTAAGTAACTAAGTAATTAATTCCTTTTGAAAATAAGTAATCAGTAAAGTAACGGGATTTCTTTTTTGGGGAAGTAATCAGTAATTAGTTACTGATTACTTTTTTCAAGTGACTTAACCAACACTGTCCATGTATGTGCATGGAAGGACAGACAAAAGTGGTCCTGAAAACACATTTGATTTCTGTTTTTTCCTCCTTCTTCACAGCTACATGATAAGAGCAGATCAAAGATATTCTGAGGTGCTTGTGTGGAGGTTCATCTTCCAGCTAATCTGCAGAGTACAGTTGTGTGTGATTTTGGGGGAGTGTCTCCTTGTCTGTCATATAAATAGTCTGCTGCTTTGTTAGAGTTGGTCTCTCTTCCAGTTTGCCAGTCTCAGGTTCTGCACCAATTAGTATTGATCTTTTACAGGAAAACACTATTACACATCAACAAAAATGGAGGCCATCAAGAAGAAAATGCTTATGCTGAAGTTGGACAAGGAAAATGCGCTGGATCAGGCGGAACAGGCTGAAACGGACAGAAAAGCAGCTGAAGACAGAAGCAAGCAGGTAGGTCACACAGGTGCAAATCACATGAAGCGGACTCATCAGTCTGGTGGTTTATATGAGCTTAGTATGTGGTGTAGTTGAGCATCTTGTACCAATGAATGAATGAAAATAGGAAAGATGACTTTTTGAGACTTCCAGAGACCCAGTTATCTTTTATCTGTGGTTTTGGTGGATGGTAGTCAAACAAGGACCTGAGTCTGCTGCTGAGGAAAGTCTGTCCAAAAATGTACATTAAAATCGAACCCTGTGTTTCTTGTCCCACGCTATCAGCATGAAGACGAGCTTATACAAATGCAAAAGAAGCTGAAAGCAACAGAAGATGAGCTTGATAAATACTCCGAGGCCTTAAAGGATGCTCAGGAGAAGCTTGAAGTTGCTGATAAGAAAGCTGCTGATGTGAGTAAAACTAATTCACAGTGGTGTGTTTGGTGCATTTCATAATACCACATTATTGATTACTGACCAACCTTTACATTCTGAAAATACAAAAGAAAATATGTCTCTTCCACAAAGCAAACAGATTAGCAGGGTGCTGATGTGGATGTGACTCTTTGGGAGATTTTTTCCCCTATTTTATGACTGGGAAGGCCAAGAAACTGTAATTCATGATACAGTGCTCTGTCAGTGGTGGCATTGTGTCTCACACAGCATGAACTGATGGCCAGTGTAAACCAAGCCAGTTTGAGTTCCTGTTTCAGCCTTGCATTCCATTCTCATCATGCTTACGTCTCACAGCTGTTGGGGGATTCAGAGCCCTTTTTAACTCTGATGTCAACCACCCAACCTTGGCAGTGAGATTAACAATTGTTCAAGTCCATTTTAGGTACCCATGCCTCCCAGATCACAGTAACTGACGGCCTTTATTTAATGGATGTAGCCTAATTTAGGCTCATTCACTGTGGCTCTCACAGCACAATAAGAACTAGACTATCATAAACCAGTGGGCTATTGCACTCACCTTTCTCCACCTGTTTTACTTTCATCCTTCAGCTCGTGCTACAATGTTTAGTTCTCAAAGGTGTCCATCCAAATGGTTCTCTTTCACACACTGACTTCGAGAATTTAAACTAGCGTCAGATTCACAGGACAGGCTCTCTGTCAGACATCGCTGAAGTGAAATACAAATGCAGGCCATAAGAGGCTGAAAGGAGAGGGGAACAAATGGAAAACAAACAGATGATATGACAAAAGTACTTTTTATACACACACTGAGGGGTGGTTAGAAATGAGACACCACTGAGGAAAGTCAGACACGGATTAAACTACAGAAAAGAGGGTGGGGCAGATAATCATACACAAGGAAAGACAAGACAGGAGTAGAAGGTCAGACACGAGGAAAGTAATGTTCAAAGGGAGGAAGAGGAATTAACCAAAAACCCATAAATAACACAGAAACTGACTAAATATAAACAGAGACAGAAGAGGAAACGGGGAGATTTCGTCTGAGAGAAGCGATAGTTATTTCTATTTCTCCATATTTTTCTTTGTTTATTTGTTTTATCTTATCCTTACAAATAAGTGTTCAAAACCTCTTTTGGACAGATGTCCAATGTTATGATCAGAAAGTCATTGGTGCCCACAGGTGCACACAAGTGGTGAGGCGGTGGAGTCCTTTTGTTTAATGGCTGACCCCATTAAATCCAGTCGAACCAGTCGAACCAGTCGAGCCAGTCGAACCAGTCGAACCAGTCGAGCCAGCCGAACCAGTCGAGCCAGTCGAGCCAGTCGAGCCATTACTTACAGAAACTCAGTCCACTAATTTAGCTTTTAGGTACAGTCCATATGTTTTTGGACAGTGGCACACTTTTTGTAATTTTGCCTCTATGCAGCACCACACTGGATTTTAAATCAAACAATCAAAGCCATTTTCAAAAACCCTTTCTTCAAAAGATATGGCAGTTACATCGGATGAGAATCGTGCAAAAACATAGATATATTTATACAAATATTTAAAATATTCCAGGAAAAAGGGAATTTATCTGTCCAAAGGATAGTACTAATGTCTTTAAAGACAATATCACTATTAATCATTCTTTAGCTCTCATTTTCCAGAGTGTTGATTATGGACACGATTTACCAAAATAAATCTCTTTTGCTATCCATCAGTAGTCCTTCAAATAAACCATAGCTTAAAGATTTTAGTTTGCTGTCAATGATAAAACCTGCTGTTCTGTAGCAGGCTAACAATAAATGTTCAAAGGTTCCACCTTCACCGTGGTTCAGCAGAGGACCTTTTCTTATGGTAATTTAATCTTTCTATATTCTCTTGATTCATAATTATCACCATGACCTCATCAGCACAAGCCATGGCTGCCATTCTGTATGAATCACAGATATTATTACAGACCACTGGACACGCTCAGCCTGAGGATCTGTCTCGTTTTGCTGCGCGGCACTGACCAGCGACTCGATCTTCCAGGTGATCCAACGACGAGGGAGGCTGGGAGGATTGGTTCACTCTCTTTGGGGGGAGAGAGCATCTGCGTTGGTGCTCCACGAGTCTGGGAGGTAGAAGTTTGTATAGTTAAACTGGGCAACCAGAAAAAGACCACCTGGCTTGGAGTGAGTTTGATCATTTCTTGTGGTCATCCAAACAACAAAAGGATGTTCAGCTTCCTCTGCAAGTGCCTCCATTCTTCCAGCGCCAGCTTCACCACCAGCAGTTCTCACCTCCCCATGTTGTAATTGTGCTTTGTGGGTGACAGCTGATGAGCAAAGAAAGCCAAGGGGTGCATTTTATCAGCAGCCCTCTGGGACAACACTGCAACTACCCCAGAATCCAAAGTGTCAACCTCCTCAATGAACTAGAGTGTGTTGAGCAAGAATAAGCGCAGAGGCGAGCAGATGCTCCAGATGGTCGAAGGTTTCCCAGGCTGAGACATTCCACTAGAAAGGCGTCTTAAGAAAAGTCAGACTTTGCTATTGTTCCCGATAAACCAGCGATAGAAGTTGGAAAAACCTAAAAAGTAGACACTGTAGATCAGGGCTGCCCAATCCCAGTCCTCAAGAGCAACTATCCTGCAGCTTTTAGATGCATCCCTACTCCAACACAGCTGAATCAAATGGTTTGATTACCTCTTCAGCATGCCATCATGTTTGGCAAAGGCCTGATAACAAGCCATTCATTTGATTCGGGTGTGTGGGAACAAGGATGCATCTAAAAGCTGCAGGACAGTAGCTCTCGAGGACCGGGATTGGGCACCCCTGCTGTAGATGTTTCCTGGATATGGGAACTACCACTACCTGCACTTTCACCATGAATTTGCTGCATTCAACTATCTTTTGGAGCAAAATGTCCTGATTTGAAGTGAGGCCACAAAGAACTCACTCACGTTCTCCCCACTGTTGTCATTGGATGGTGATTGCATCCTGGTGCAAATCAGTGTCTGTTGAGCCCATTGTGGTCAGATTGTTGTGTCATAAAACCAGCAGAAAGATGGGCCCACTCACAGATCACTGAGAAAACATCATGACTCAGTGTTTCTGTGTTTCTCAGTTCTGGTATTGTTTGGCTTCCTTGTTCTTCCCACTTTAATCATTTTGTATTTCCAGTTCTGAATTGTTTGTTCCCTTTCGTGTCCTGGTTGTCTTGGTCTCGTCTGTGTTCTCCCCAGCCTGTCATGTCAGTCGCCCTCTCCATCTTCTCAGTCGGTCTCCCCTGTCCCAGTGTTTGTATATCTTAGTCTGTGTCTTAGTATGTTTCCTGTTTTATTTTGGCAGTCTCTCATCCTGTGCTCAGTGTGTTCAGTTTTGCTTCCTCCCTTCCTGTTAGTCTGATTATTTCCTGCTGTGTTCCCTCCTGTTTCCCATCCTCTCATTATCCTGTGTGTATTTAAGGCCTCAGTCTCCCTCTGCTCACTGGTGTGTTGTCCACTGGCTGTGTTTCTCAATGCTCCATGTTCTCCTCACTACTCGTTCCACAGAGATAAAGCTGCTTCTTCCAGTTTACCCTCTTCGTGTTTGAGTCCTGTAACTGGGTCCCACTCTTGACAGACATAGCTAAGCATTTTGCAATCTGGCGCCATCTGTTACAGCTGAAATTTCTTAGGTATCAAAAAGCAGAAATGAGGTTTTCTTGGCAGTCGTCATTTTTGCAAAACCAAAAGAACTCAAAAGTACACAATACTGTACACAACAGTACTCCAGTGCATAATGCATCTGTGCGTGAACAAGTCAGTTAGGCAGAAAATAGCAATTCATGATGGAAACTGCCTTCAAGCCCTTGAGCTCTGCAGGAAATGTGGTTTTATCGAGGTGGATTTTTTGGTAGCAAGACAGAAAAGACAGAATTGCTGTTAATGTTGTTCAAATGTGAATCGTAATTCTGGTCTTCGTGTGCTGCTGGTTCAGTAAATTTTGTCGTTGCACGATGAAACTGGCAGCTGTGGAATCTGTGAGAGCTGTGCTTTCAGCAGAGACACTGTTTGTGTACTTGCCATCTTGTGAACGGGGAAATCTGTATGTTGTGTTTACATCTTTTCACTTATACCTGCTCTTTAATTGGTTAAAGAGTTATTCTAGCTGTTTTATTTTGCCCTTTCAATGCTTGTAAACCTTGGTATATTTTAGAAATGGGTCTAATTCCTGAAATAGATTTTTATGCCATTAGGAAAACATTCAGAACACCCGACACAGATCTTTCTGTTAAATATACTTTCAATCTTATGTTTATTTGTAAAAATCTACAGAAGTCTTTATTTGTCAGTCCCTTTTCTTTCAAATCTTCAAAACCTTTTTAATTGGTCCCATTAAGTAAATCAAAATATTTAACCAAACCCATATCTTTCCCTTTCTTAAATCAAGTATCCGTTATATTTGGGATAAATCCAGGGTTGTGTGAGTCTATAGGGCTCCTGGTCTGGTTCTGTCTGACCACATTAAACGAAGTCCTAGGACATGTTTGTATGCAGGGACTGGATTCATTAAGGTGCGTGGAGAGGCTTCTATCACCTATTATTGCCTGCAGACCAGGTTACATATGTCCACTAGATTGCCAGTTGTGCATAAGATGTATTTCACCTGTGTGCACCTTCCTCCACCTTAACATGCCACCCTGTGTTCCTTCCTCTTCTTGAAACATGCATTGACCAGTCATTTCCATCCTTTGCTGAAATCACTTCCTCATCACCCGTGTTCCCATGTCTGTTAAAGTTGACACCAGTTACCACTCATTACCACTATATTCAACTTTTCTGACTGTGCAGCACACGCATTAACATTCACCTATTTGATGTACAGCTTTGAACTAATGCTCCGGTCTGACAGACGCTTCACCTGAACAGAACTATTCGTATACACTTCCTTCAAAATGACCCATAATCGAGTTCTCTCTCTAGAACAGTTTGAATCCACCTCCAATGCTACTGGCCTCATCACTTCGACCTGGTCTCTTGTACACACAATATGTCTGTTTTCCTTCTCTTCATAATATCTCCCTTCATGAGCCGTAGTCCATACGGACTCCTTACTCTTTTCCACGTTCCTGCATTTCTGTCTTTCTCGATGCCTCCTAACTCACCTTCCCTGCTGAGTCTTCCTTTGTCTTCGGCCAACAGTGGCACCCTGTTTTCGCCCTAACACCCCAACCATTTCTGCAGCATTCCAGCAATCAGGTATGTATCATAGAGAGGCCAGACCAGAGCCACTCCTCAGTAAAAGTAAGTTGGAGTTTTCCAAAAGGCACCTGAAGCACTCTCGCACGATGAGAAACAAAATCCCCTGCTCTGATGAAACAAACACTTAGCTCTTTGGCCTGAATGCCAAGCATGATGTCTGGAGGAAATCAGGCACCGCTCATCACCTGGCCAATGCCATCTCTACAGTGAAGCGTGATGGTGGCAACCGGCTCCAAACTACTCTGGGCCTCGAAGGTCCTAAGCACACAGTCCAGATAACAAAGGAGTCACTTTATGATTACTCTGTCCTTATGTGACCTATAGAGCCAAGACTTGATTTAAGACCTGTTAAATCTAATATTTGTAAATATGTTTAAAAAGAAAATTTCAAGCAAATGGAATAATGGTGTAATAAGACAAAATGTGGAAAAAGAGAGAATACATGCACTGTATCACGATAAGCTTCTGGCTGAGTACATCATCCTAACTCACTGAAAACCAAAAAGGTTATTTGAAGAGATTCTTTGGAAAAGCTTTGTCCACATCCACATTATATTATCCACTTCTTTGGAATAACATGCAATACGCTTCTATCAGGAAATGCTGCTTTTACTGTGTTAGACATGTGCAGACTGTTTTTCTAATTAATCTGCTCCTTGTATTCTCAGGCAGAGGCAGAAGTGGCTTCCCTCAACAGACGTATCCAGCTCGTAGAGGAGGAGCTGGACCGCGCTCAGGAGAGGCTGGCAACAGCTCTGCAGAAACTGGAAGAAGCTGAGAAGGCTGCAGATGAGAGCGAGAGGTGACTCTGCTGTGACCTCTATTGTTCTTCTGCGATGAGTATCACAAGTCAAGCGTTATAGGAACAGCTTGAATGTCAGTGACCACACTTTTCCCGTTGGATGGTTCATGAACATACTGTGCTAGAACCACTCAAAAAAGACCTGGGACTGAAAATGTATCTTAATATATCAGTAAGAAACTCCATAGATGTTGAATAGCTACTGAGTATTTGAGCTTAGTGCAGCCATGGAAGCAGATGGAAATTTAAACTGCAAGCGAGATCTTTGTACTGGCTGATCAGACTTTATACAAAACAGGCGCCAGGAACTAAACAGGAACCCTAAACTGGGGGTACACTAGAAACCAGGAACACTTGGAGGTCATCAGACCCATGACTGGAACATAAGAGACACTGACAGAGTGTATACATAAGAGAAGTGGAGATGCATAGAAACACAGCTGGAGCAAACTAGACAAACGTTAGAGGGGAAACAAAACTGAACACAATGCACATGAGACAAGGAGTGAGAGAGCAAGGGACATGACGGGCTGGGGGGAACACAGACGAGACCAAGACAACGAGGACACGAAATGGAACAAGTAACTAGAAATGCAAATGACTCAACTAGCTACATACACGTGACTACAATGAAACTACATAACAAACTTAGAAATAGCGACCAAACTAACAACCTTGACGAGTCCAACAGAAAACAGGGGTCCTTACAATTGGACAATCTGTGTAACCTCTGTAAGGCCAAGCTATCGCCTCATGCTACTGGTACTCACACCAACACCAGCCAAATGCAAAACTAAAAAGTACCAAAAAAAACATTCAGAAAAGATGAGGAGGGGAAAGAGTCAGTGGCCTCCACCTGTTAAACCTGCTTCTCTGGTGCACTTGTTAGTTTTATTAAGACCAAAGCAGCTCAAACAATCCCCTTTGCTACTTAACAGATCAGGTCAATATCTGAAAGTTTCATTGAGTTGGTGCTATACTCATTTTTTAAATTGTGTATTATTGCACAGTCTATTATTAGCTTCCTCCCAGTCATATGTAAGGCAGCAGCATCTAAACAGAGGTTATTAACACCACGTTCTTATATTTAGCTGACAGATTTTCAAAATGAACTGTTCTATGCATCAAATCCTATCTGCCCCACAGAAAACACTGTGTAGCTATGGTGACAGGTCACTGTGTGGCAGCACCATGACCTAAGTGAGGCTCTTGATTACATATTTGATCACCACACTGGTGAGGAGGAGAGAGGCCAGGAAACTGACAGTGAGGATGGATCAGAAGCTGAAGATGGCACGGAATATAATCCAGATAAAGAGGAATGATGATGACGATGATGGCCATCGAATCCTGCTTTGAACTGTTCCTGATTAATTAAACATGATTTACATGTTGTTATGGGCGATTCGCTTTGACAGCCACAATACTATTCAGGGTCATCATCAGCAAGACAAACTGGCAGTGATTAGAGGTTTGTGACGAGTGCGTGGAATAGCAGCCACTCATCACTCATGTCCAAGTCCAAACATCACAGTGTCTGGTCACCGGTAGGGGACGCTGCCCTTTCAAAAAGTATATGCCAATCAAGCAGTCTAAACATGGCATAAAGATATGTCAGAAGTGCAGTTTTGGGATAATTTCCTAGCCACACAAATAAAACATTCCTGTCCACTTTTGGCCAGGACCACAACAGGTGTTGCTTTATGTGACTATAAAAGATTTGAAATGGTTTAAAAACAAATGTTCTTAACGTTGTAACTTATCCAAAGTAGCCTGTGATAAACAGTAGACTGTTTCATCTGATCATTTCTTACAGTCAAACTAATCCAGATGTTTTTTCAGATTAATGAGACTTAGAAAGGCTGTCATGCTCACAAGAACGTGAGCTGATTACAAAAATCTAACACAACATACAGTGATAATACATCTATTATTATAGTTTCTATATCTGATCGAGAACACAGAATTGTTTTATATGAAATGAACGAAGCGTGAGGGTTAAAAATGTTTAGCAGTGTATTTGTATTGTCAGAAAGTAAGGATGGTTTGTCTGCACAGAGGCATGAAGGTGATTGAGAACAGAGCTCTGAAAGATGAAGAGAAGATGGAGCTCCAGGAGATTCAGCTGAAGGAAGCTAAACACATCGCTGAGGAGGCTGACCGCAAATACGAGGAGGCGAGTGTTTTTGTTCTTGTCTGTTGCAGTCCGCTGCAGTGATGCACTTTCTTTAGGAACCAAAGAAATTTGAAAGGAGCTGGTAACTGTATCTACCTCTGTGTTGTTATTACAATAATACTGAAAAATAGCAAATCCATGGTGCAGGACCTTAAACTCTCACACTTTCTCCTCAGGTTGCTCGTAAACTGGTGATTGTAGAAGGAGAGTTAGAGCGTACAGAGGAGAGGGCAGAGCTGGCTGAGGCGTGAGTACATATACCGTGTTACCTGCCTCATGTTTGGGGTTTTTTGAAGGACAGAAGCAATTATTTCCTAGGAGCACTGCTTCAAGTGTTTACAGGGGTTTTTTTACATGTCATGGCAAACATTTAAACTGTGAGTTTTCTGCACCAACCTGTTTTTGTCTTCTAAAAACTCTAAAAGTAAATGTGCTGAGCTGGAGGATGAACTGAAGAATGTCACCAATAACCTAAAGTCCCTGGAGGCCAGGGCTGAGAAGGTAAGGAAAGGCCAGAGACACTGAGAGTAAACATATATTTTCAAAACGTGACTTTTTACATATAACAATAAAGAAGCTGACACAGTACACTCGGGAGGTTTAGACTCAAACCAAGTATCTCCTTGCCCCGCTGTGACACTTCACCATCCTGCAGACCTCACCCTCTGAATAATCTTCTCCTTCCACACAGTACTCGCAAAAGGAGGACAAGTATGAGGAAGAAATTAAGATCCTAACTGACAAACTGAAAGAGGTGAGCAAGAAAGAAAAATGACCTGTAGATATTCTAAATGCTGGATTTATTAATCATTTTATTTGTCTATTTAAAATATTTTCTACATTTAAATGAGCGCTGGGCTCTAAATGTTTTGATGCTTTGAGAGGTCAACATACTGCTGCATTTCTGTTACTTCTTCAACTTCGTTGTCTGATCAAAAGTTGTTGCTTTAACAGGCCGAGACGCGAGCTGAGTTTGCTGAGAGATCTGTGGCCAAGCTGGAGAAGACAATTGATGATCTGGAAGGTAAAACACTCATTTCTCAACAAAGTTCACCCTTTAATTACCGTATTTTTCAGACCATAAGGTGCACCAGATTATAAGATGCACTAAGCGAAACAAAACAGTCAAATAAGTCACACTTTACTCAACTCATTCTTCTTGCTTCCTCCACTTCTGTACCATTGATTCATTAATGTTGAATTCTCTGGCAGCTGCTCTGTCCCCATGTTGTTGCAGTATATTAATGACTAACCTCGTATTGTGGATGGATTATCTCAGTTGTTCTCCTGACTGAAGTTTGGTCCGTTTACAGCATCCTGCCATGCGATTGCATTTGTCTCTAACTATCAGGAACCTTAACGTTATCCAGTGGAAAAAAGTTAGCGTTCATCCTCCAGCTTCACTGTGTTTGTTATGCTAACATAACATAGCTGTGTCGCTAGCGACACGTAGCACATCATTATATACAGTAGCAGCTAGCCCAACTTCAGTAACCCTGCAAACGTCACTGCTGTTTAGTTTGCTGTCTTCATTTATGTTGGAAGTGATAGCAGAGCTGTACGTTTGAATATTTTCAGAAATCTCTCAGTCAGAACATGCTATGGTCATGTCCAAATTCATGGGCTGCATCCTCCTGAGGACCCGGCCTTCGTGGTCTACGTGGGCCGGGTCCTCAGAAGGTCGGGTAGGCCGGAAGTAAACGGCTGTGGAATTGGACGGTCCAGCCTTCTGATCAGCGTCACCGCTGTCTCTGTGGAGTTTAATAAACTCGTCCGTCTGCTCCTTGCTATCTAAAATATATCAGGACACTGGCGTAAATTCTCGACTGTCTCA